GACAATTTGATTTCCAAACTTCACGTAGATGTTCGTTTCCTGTTCTCAAGTTTTGATAAGCATTATCTCTTGAATAGGGTCAGTTTCGTTTTGAAGTTTACTGCAAAGAAACGGAACTGTTACTCATCTCCTGTAAAAATACATGCAACTAAGGGCTTGACTAGCAGTCGGCCCTCCTTCTAATAAATTTATTTCCTTTTCTTGGAAGTACTTCAAATACAGGGTTGCCTTCATGAGACTGTTTATTTGACAAGGCACTGGATGCTGTGACAAATCAGCATACCGTGTCCTTTTGGTGGAGCTCTAGTCACTAAGTTTTGTGGGTTTTGCGCGGTTCATCACGAGCCAATGGGAAGGTTGGAGTTTTGCCCTATTCCATGTGCTAAAATGTTGCGATTGGCTGAGAAGATGGTGTTGGTGCTAGTTGTAAGGCAACGGCAAGCCTTCAGTAGCATTTGCACGTGCGTACAAGTATTTCCAAAGGTGACGTGAATTTAAAACAGTACGGAATCTCCATTGACGCTTGTTTTTGATACTCAAAAACCAAACAGTGTTAAGGAAAAGGAACTAAAGCTTTGACAAAGCATTACTAAGTGAGATCAAGTTATGAATATTAAAAGCTATTTTTAGCAAGGATGGCAAAAGTGGACTAGTAAAATTAAAATTATGCTTATTCAGCGCTAATTTTTGCAGGTTTTGCATCATGCGTAATATCGCACATGTCCTTGCCGTTCTCACTGTGGAGCTGTCAACTCAATCCTCATATATTCCCTTAAACGTCAGCTTTGCAGATCCCAATTTGTCAAATATCGGCTGCTTTGCATACGTCGAGCGTTGATGGGTAATAAAATCACAGTGGGCCTGATCAGCTAAAAAAATGAAAAGTAAAGCACTATCAAACCAAAATCCGCATTTGTTGTTAGCAGAGGCCTCAGTTTTCTATTTGGGCATACATGAGTCGTGTAGGAGTGCGCTTTATTTTGGCTGATAAACTGAAAATCAAAGTGATTTTCCTAAACCATTTTCTTTAACTAACGCCATTTTGACTGCAATCTGCAGCAGATCAAATCGCATTAATCGGCATAATGCTTTAACTCGTCCATAACGCATTCTCATAGCATCTGACCCTCAGTAGAATCTGGATAGCTCTGCTCATATGACAAAAAATGCGCGTGGCTGGAAGAGCCCGAGAATCAGCTATTGTAGTGCTATTAG